ATTTCTTTTACAAACGTGGATGCCTTTGTATTTGGGGCATAAATGTTCAGAATTGAGACTTCATCCTGATGGATTTCTCCTGTGATGAGTGGGAAATGACCTTCTTCATCTCTTTTGACTGATTTATTTTAAAGTCCACTTTGTTGGATATTAGGATTGCTACCCCTGCTTGTTTCTTGGGTCCATTTGATTGGAAGATCTTTCCCCAACCTTTAATTCTTAAGTACCGTCTGTCTTTGAAGTTGAGGTGAGTTTCTTGTATACCACAGAAGGAAGGATTCTGTCTTCTTATCCATTCTGATAATCTGTGTCTTTTTATAGGGGAGTTAAGACCATTAATGTTGATGGATATTAATGACAATTGATTATTGTTCATTCTTGTTTGTTTTTGATTTGGTGATGCTGGAGAGATTATGTGTGGGATTCTGTCTCTTTTTCCTTTTGGCTGTTGGTAAGTTAACTTCCCTGGTTTGCAATTTTCCTACCAGTATTTTCTGTAGGGCTGGATTGGTGGATATGTGTCGTTTGAATCTGGTATTGTCATGGAATATCTTGTTTTCTCTATCTGTAATGATTGAAAGCTTTGCTGGGTATAGTAGTCTGGGCTGGCATCCATGGTCTCTTAGTGTAGGTAGAATATCTATCCAGGACCTTCTGGCTTTCAGAGTTTCCATGGAAAAGTCAGGGTTGATTCTGATAGGTTTGCCTTTATATATTACTTGACCTTTTTCCTTTGCTGCTCTTAATATTTTCTCTTTGTTTTGTATGTTTGGTGTTTTGATAATATGTGGCGAGGAGACCTTTTATTATTATTATGTGGCTCAGTCTATTTGGTGTTCTGTAGGCTTCTTGTATTTTCATTGGTATGTCTTTCTTTAGATTGGGAACGTTTTCTTCTATGATTCTGTTGAATATGTTTTCTGTGCCTTTGAGTTGGATTTCTTCACCTTCTTCTATACCTATTATTCTTAGGTTTGGTCTTTTCACGGTATCCCATATTTCCTGGATATTTTGGGATAGGGATTTGTTGGACTTAAGATTTTCTTTGGTTGACAAATTTATTTCTGCTAGTGTGTCAAATCCTGAGATTCTCTCTTCCATGTCTTGTATTCTGTTGGTTATGTTTACATCTGTAGTTCCTGATCGTTTACCCAGCTTTTCTATTTCCAGCATTCCCTCAGATTGTGCTTTCTTTATTGTCTCTATTTTAGTTTTTAGGTCTTGAACTGTTTCCTTGAGAGATTTGTTGATGTCTTGTATTTTTGGTTTGTTTTTTTCTTCCATTTCTTTTTTTTTTTTTTTACCAAGTTTGACAAAATGTATTGTAATTTTAGTAAAGACATTCAGCTCAGTTGTCTCTCTCTCTCCTCATCTTGACCTCAAGTTAATATGTCATTTGAGTCAAGTAAAGAATATGTAGGAGAGATATTATTTCAACAAACAGTAAAATGGACAAATAAAATGGACAAGTTTGCTTACATAAAAGTTAAATTTCTGTATCTTGATATACTTAAATCATGTAAGAACTAACAGTGCTATGTACCTTTCCATTTTTTTACTTGGGGCTTATTAGTAAACCTAAATGTAGTGAACAAAGTGTTAGGAATATCTGAAGGCTGCTTTTTGGAAGTTATTATGCTAAAAATGCTAGTGAATAATTACCACCGGTGAAACTCACCAAAGCTGCCTCCAAATTTAACATTGTAATTTTCAAGGAAATCTTATTTCTTTTGTCTTCAACTATTAAAGATGCATTAACTGTCACATTGAAAAATAGCCCATATACAATACAAAAATACAAAACAAACCCCCTGCAATACACAAATCTAAGAATATATGTGGTGAGACTTCATAATGAAAATGTGTTTGAAGAAGCATTTTCTGCCGTTAAAGTGTGCTTTTGAAATCACTGGTCAGCATGTATATATTTAAAATAAGCATGGAGTTGTACAAATAAATATTTGAGTTCAATTCAAATCTGATCTAATACGTTAGTAAATTAAATGCTTCAAAAGTCACAAAGTGCACTGCCTTATCTGTCTTCATACAATGTTAGACATTTTTGGCATTTAAACCTTTTAAAAATAAAAACCAGCCAAATATGTAAAGCAGTCTGTACATTTATATTTTTGGTGGGGGTTTTTATTTTAAAAGAAACAGCTTCCTTATGATCTGCCTCAAGTTCTGGTGGAAATGCTTATAGGAACTAGAAAAAAAAAAACAAGAGAAGCACATTCAAAATACTGATTTACTTTGGTAGCAGATAGTGTTCTTTGAAGACTCCTGAATGGAGACAACCTCCATTAAAGTGAAGTGGGCTATTTTTAATAATACTTCACACAAGAACTTTGACAAAAAATTGTTTTAAAAGAGCAAAGCATCTGTACCCACTGATAGCGATGCAACACTAGTATATGATAACCTAAAACAAAATGAAATGCCCATAGGAAAAAGTTTATTTTAATTTTATCTAAATTTACTTTCAGTCGATAGTCCAGTAACATTGTCTTCTCAATCCAATATTCCCTCTGTACAAGGCTGCTCGTTCGAACCAGGCAGTTCAGGTGACAAGGGAGTGGAGTCAGGAGAGGAACTGCTCACAGTTTTAAGTAGACAGTAACTTTTAGCTTCCCTCTTAATGTGCTAATAGTTGTCTAAAAAAATATGCAATTCTTCGAAAGGTACCACTTCTGATTTCTTTTTTATCTGTAACCTTTGGAAACTAATCACATGAAACTACAAAATTAGCAAATGTCTTGAAATCTGTATATAAAACATAAATTAACTCTAATTTTAAACTCTCATTTATTAGTGTACCACTCAATCTTTAAAAAAAATGAAAGAAAAAGAAAAACAGAAAAAGAAAAAAAAAAAGGCTCCGAAGCTAGTCTTGCACCATTCTTTACAAAAGGAGACTGTTCCTTCTAACTGCACCCACCCATACCCAATCTCAAAACATTTCATTTAATTGTCTTGGTCATGTACATTTCCAAGATGAGATTTTATATTTTGCTCCCACAGCTTCTGATTATCGGAAAAGCCATGCTTTCCTTTATTAAAGGAGTTTGGTCCAGCTGATGTTGGTGTGTCCCTTCCAATATTCTTCATCCTCATCTTAGCTTCTGGAGGCATTTCTTCTGGGTCACTGTCTTCATCTTCATTGAAAGCTGCTGCTATTGAAAGGGTTTTTGGAGCAAGGTTTGGAACTGTTTCCTTAGGCTTACTTGATCCAAGTTTGATGGATATGACTGATGCTTTCTTTGTCGTCTGACTACTTATGGCAAATCCAAACTTGGAGATCTTTGTAGGCTTTGTGGGGAGGTCCGCAGCTTCTTCATCAGCTGATCGATTTTCAGCGCTGCGACTGGAACTTTCCCCTCCATTACTCTGGTGGTTCCGGCTCGCTGAGGCTTCTCCTCTCCCGCCTTCCAGTTTGCCATCTCCCATGCCACGGCCTCCCCTTGCAGCATGGGCCTTCTATTTCTTTAAGGGATTTTTCTCATGTCCTCTATCATTTTCACGAAGATGCTTTTAATGTCATTCTCTTCTGGTTCATCTGCATCGTGATGTTCAGGTCTTGCTGGTGTATGGTTCCTAGTCTCCGGTGGTGTCATATTGTGTTTTCTGTTGTTGGATGTGCTTTTACCTTGTGCTCTTCTCATCCTTTCTTCTGGTAGGTGTAGCAAGAGTTTCTTGTTCTCCTGGTGGGTGTGGGACCAAGGTTCTCTTCTGGTAGATGCAAACAGAGCCAATACTCTGATGTCTGTCCTCTTTTCATGGATGGAGGTTCACTGTTACCCAGGCGTTGGCAGTGTTCGGGCATGCTGGGTCCCACCGAGCCCACAGTTGGAGTCAGAGCTGTCACTGGGCCTCAGTGTGTATGATCCCACCATCGAACTCGGTCCGGCGGGCAGGTCGCTTGTGTCAGATGACTCGGAGGCCACCTTTTGATCTTTCAGGACTGTTAGATCCCAAGGACTGTTAGAGCCCAGGGGAATATTAGAGCCCACACCACTGTTAGAGACCACGGGACTGTTAGAGACCACAGGACTTTTAGAGGCCACAGCAAAATTAGAGCCCATGGAACTTTTAGAGCCCAGAGCACTGTTAGAGCCCACAGGATTGTTAAAGAGCTCACAGCACTGATAGAACCCATGAGATTGTTCTATCCCACAACATTGTTACACACCACAGGACTCTTACTGCTCACAGCACTGTTAGAGGCCAGGGGACTGTTAGATACAACAACACTCCTGAGCCTACGGGAATGTGAGAGCACACATTATTGTTAGAAACCACAGGACAGATAGAGATCTCAGGACTGTTAGAGACCACAGGACTGTGAGAGCCCTCAGGACTGATGGAGACCACAGCTCTGTTAGAGCCCACAGGACTGTTAGAGCCCACAGCACTGTTAGAGTGTAAGGGACTGTTAGAGCCCAGAACACTGTTAGAACACACAGGACTGATAGAGACCACAGGACTGTTAGAGGCCACAGCACTGATAGAGGCTATGGGACTGTTAGAGCCCGAAGCACTATTGGAGCCCACAGCAATGTTAGAAACCATAAGACTGTTAGACACCACAGTACATTTAGAGAACACAGGACTTTTAGAATGCACAGCACTGTTAGAGCCCATGGGACTGTTAGAAACCATAGCATTTTTAGAGACCACAGGACTGTTAGAGCCCACAAGACTGTTAGAGCTCTCACAGTACTGTTAGAGCCCAGGGGACCATTAGAGTCCACAGAACTGTTAGAGCCCACTGGACTGTTAAAGAGCTCACAGCACTGTGAGAGTCCAGGGGAATGTTAGAGCTCACAGAACTGTTAGAGCCCACGGGACTGTAAAACCCTCAGGACTGTTAGAGACCACAGCACTTAGAGACCACAGGATTGTTAGAGCCCACAGGACTGTTAGAGACCACAGCAGTATTAGAGATAAAGGGCCTCTTAGAGACCACAGGACTGTTATAACCCATAGGACTGTTAGAGACCATAGCAATGTTACAGACCAGAGCACTGTTAGAGCCCAAGGGACGGTTAGAGATCACAGGACTGTTAGAGCCCTCAGGACTGTTAGAAACCACAGCAGTATTAGAGCCCATGGGCCTCTTAGAGACCACAGGACTTTTAGAGCCAATAGGACTTTAGAGACCATAGCAATATTATAAACCAGAGCTCTGTTAGAGCCCAAGGGACTGTTGGAGAGCACAGGACTGTTAGAGCCTACAGCAGTGATAGAGCCTTCGGGATTGTTAGAGCCCCTGAGAATGTTAGAGCCCATAGGACTGCAAAAACTCAATGGTCTGTTAGAATCCATAGCATTTTTAGACACCGAAGGACTGTTTGACCCCATAGGAATGTAAGAGATCTCACAGCACTGTTAGAGCCCACAGCACTTTTAGAGACCTCACTATTGTTAGAGCCCATGGGACTATTAGAGACCACAGGGCTGTTAGAACCCACAGCAGTGTTAGAATCCATGGGATTGTTAAATACCACAGGAATTTCAGAGATCACAGGACTGTTAAGAGACCACAGCACTGTTAGAGCCCATAGGACTGATAGAGGCCACAGCACTGTTAGAGCCCACAGAACTGTTAAAGACCAGAGGACTATTAGAGATCAGAGCACTGTTAGACACCACAGGACTGTTAGAGTCAACACACTGTTAGAGTCCACAGGACTGTTAGAGCCCACAGGACTCTTAGAGACCATAAGACGGTTAGAGACCACAGCATGGTTAGAGGCCAAAGGACTTTTAGTATGCACAGCCCTGTTAGAGCCCACTGGAAGCTTAGAAACCCTAGCATTGTTAGAGACCACAGGACTGATAGAGTTCACAGGACTGTTAGAGAGCTCACAGCACAGTTAGAGCCCAAGGGACTGTTTGAGCCCACAGCACTGTTAGAGACCAAAGGACTCTTAGAGTCAACAGCACTGTTAGTGCACACAGCAATGTTAAAGTTCAGAGGACTGTTAGAGACCACAGCACTGTTAGAGACCACAGCACTGTTAGAGCCCATAGGACTGATAGAGGCCACAGCACTGTTAGAGCCCACAGAACTGTTAAAGACCAGAGGACTATTAGAGATCAGAGCACTGTTAGAGAGCACACAGCATTGTTAGAGCTCACGGGATTGTTAGAGACCATAGCACTTTTACAGCTTGCAGGACTGTTAGAGCCCAAGGGACTGTTAGAGCCCAGGGGAATGTTAGAGCCCATAGCACTGTTAGAGACCACAGTACTGCTAGAGTCCATGGGACTATTAGACCCCCTAGGACTGTTAGAGCTCACAACACTGTTATACACCACAAGACTGTTTGAGACCAAAACACTGTTAGAGCCCACATCACTCTTAGAGGCCATGGGACTTTTAGAGCCCAAAGCACTGTTAAAACTCAAGCGACTGTTAGAGACCATAGCACTGTTAGAGACTACAGCACTGTTACAGGCCAGAGGACTGTCAGAGACCTAACAGCACTGTTAGAGCCCAGGGGACTCTTAGAACCCACAGCACTGTTAGAGACCACAGGACTGTCAGAGAGCTAACAACACTGTTAGAGCCCAGGGGACAGTTATATCGCACAGCACTGTTAGAGACCATAGGACTGTTAGAGCTCACAGCACTCTTAGAGCACACAGGAATGTTAGAGACCACAGCACTGTCAGAGCCCAGGGGACTGTTAGAGACCACAGCAGTGTTAGAGACTACAATACTGTTAGAGTCCACAGCACTGTTATAGCCCACAGCACTCTTAGAGGCCAGGGCACTGTTAGAGCCCACAGGACTTTTAGATCCCACACCACAGTTAGCTCCCATGGGATTGTTAGAGACCAAGGGACTGTTGGAGCCCACTGGGCGGTGAGAGAGCTCACTGCAGTGTTAGAACAAGGGGACCGTTCGAGCCCACAGCACTGTTAGAGACCACAGGACTGTTAGAGACCACAGGACTGTTAGAGACCACAGGACTGTTAGAGACCAATGGAGTATTAGACACCACCGGTCTGTTAGAGCCCACAGCAGTGTTAGAGGCCATAAGACTGTTAGAGAACATAGCATTGTTAGAGACCACAGGACATTTAGAACCCACACCCGTGTTTGAGCCCACAGGAGTGTTAGAGCTCATGGAACTGTTAGATACCCGAGCACTATTCGAGACCACGCGTCTGTTAGAATCCACAACATTGTTAGAGGCCATAAGACTGTTAGAGAAGATAACAATGTTAGAGCATCAAGGACTGTTAAAGCCGAGGGGACTGTTAGAGCCCACAAGACTGTTAGAACCTACAGGAGATTTAGAGACCACAACACTCTTAGAGACCACGGGACTTTTAGACCCCAAACCACTGTTAGATCCCAGGGGACTGTTAGAACCCAAGGGACATTTGGAGCCCACTGGATGGTTAGAGGGCTCAATGCAGTGTTAGAACACAGGGGACTGTTCTAGCCCAAAGCACTGTTTGAGATCACAGGACTATTAGTGACCATGGGTCTGTTAGAGCCCACAGCAGTGTTAGAGGCCCTAAGACTGTTATAGAACCTAGCACTGTTAGAGACCACAGGACTTTTAGAACCCACACACCCGTTTTTGCCCACAGGATTGTTAGAGCTCATGGGACAGTTAGAGACCCCAGCACTGTTAGAACCTACAGGAGATTTAGAGACCACAACACTGTTAGAGAACATACGACTGTTAGAACCTACTGTACCTTTAGAGACCACAGCACTGTTAGAGATTACAGGGTTTTAGATCCCACACTACTCTTAGAGCCTATGGGACTGTTAGAGTCCAAGGGAATGTTAGGGTCCCCAGCATTGTTAAAACCCACAGGACTGTAAGAGACCAATGCATTGTCAGAGAACACAGGACTATTAGAGCCCATGGGACTCTCAGAATCCCAGGGACAGTTAGAACCCACAACACTTTAGAACCCACAGTAATGTTAGAGACCACAGCACTGATAGAGACCATTGGTCTCTTAAAGCCCATGGGACTGTTAGAGAGCTCACAACATTGTTAGAGACTAGGAGAATATTGGAAACCACATTTCTGTGGAGCCCACAGGAATGTTAGAGACTATAGGATTTTTAGAGGCCACAGCACGGTTAGACCCCATGGGACATTAGAGACCACATCACTCTTAGAGCCTGCATGACTGTTAGAGCCCATTGGACTGTTGAGCCCACAGGACTGGTAAAGAGCTCACAGCCCTGTTAGAGCTCAGGTGCTTGTTAGAGCCCAGAGCACTGTTGGAGACCACAGGACTGTTAGAGACCACAGCACTGTTAGAGCCCAAGGGAATGTCAGAGACCACAGCACTGTTAGAGCATCCAGGACTGTTAGAGCCAAGGAGACTGTTAGAACACACAGGATTGTTAGAACCCAGTGGACTGTTAGAGTCCACAGCACTGTTATAGCCCACGGCACTGTTAGAGC